TTATCAAGAACCTTGCATATTTCATATGTATTTTTATTTAAAGAGTCATCCATTCTGTTGTTTTTTTTTCTAAATGATAAAAAACAAAGAAGCATATTTTTGGAATTAAAAAATCTTTTTTCAACCTACTTTCACTTGAAAACACCTCAAACATATCTTAGAAACCTCAATAAACTTATTTTTAACTCTTAAGATTCTCTAATCATTCCTAAAAAAGGAAAATACTTGAATAAAAAAATTTACGACCTCTGGTATAATTTTTCCAACATGGTTATATAAAAACACTTGAAAACATGTGTTTGGACCTCAAAAATCTATTTTCAACATATTTTCACCTAAAAAACCAAAACAATACCCTAAAACCTTTCAATAAACCCATTCCTAACCCTCAAAACCCTCTAATCTGTTAAAAAAATAAACAAATAAAAAACTTTACTTATCCTAATCTATTTTTTTGGCATAGTTATGGGAAAATATTGCCTCCATTGTACTTCTCTTACGAAGATAAACTAATCAACATAAAGATCAATCTTTTTAGTGACGAGAACACAATCTTATGACACATTCACTCTCTTATCTCAATTAGGGATTGAAACATTAATAAAAAGATGTATGATATCAAAACATAAATTGCTAAATCAACAAGGACCAATTGGTAAAAAACATAAAATTTACGGATCAAATTGAAGTTTTTCATGTGAAAGTATAAATGAGGTCTTTTCTATTGTTCTTTTTACAAGTTGACGCTCTTATTTCAATTATTATTTATAACTACAATTAAAGTTTGATTTTACAAATGATTCCTCATGCATCCTCAAATATTTCTTAAGAATTTATATATGTCAGATACTGCAAACTAAAATAAATGTAAGCACACAAAACTATGCTAATGTAACTCAAAAGGGTAAAATTAAAAAGGAATGAAAGTTTGATGATAAAAAAAATATTAGGCACTATTCATACAAATAATGTAGTCTCGACACAATGAGTCATTACAATAAAAATCTCAATTCTTTTAATTTATTCGGTAATTTGATAACAAGTTACTCAATTAAATTTTTAATCTAAACCATTGATAATATGAATGCATATATATATCATAATTGATATCCATAATTATCATTGTTGATATCCATAATGTATGCATATACATCTAAAATATACATTAATAGTCAAATTCTTTATTTTACAAGCAATAAATAACTTCAAAACCCATTAGTAGATCAAAATAGTTCAAACTCAATGGGTTTGGATTAAAGCCACTTGTGTAGTGATCCGAACCCAAAATGACTTGACATGAATCTAGTTGGATTGATGATTTTAAAAATACATTAGCATAAATAAATCAAAAATATTAGTAAGATAGAAAAGTTTGAAAAATAATTATGAAATAACATAATTTGAGATTGGCACGATTTATAATTGCAATTTTTAAGGGTGTCGTGCTTAGGAATTGTAACATCTATAAAATGTCACAATTCTAAAATACAACAACTTATAATTTTCCGATGCATAATCATGACAAGTTGTGCAATTTAACTTAGCTTCTTTTTCTTTTCCCCCACAGTTGCAATCACTCTTTCTTTAAAAACTTGTCATTCACACAAAATCTCTTTAAAAAACCAATCAAAACTACACCCTAGCCTTAAAACACACTAGAAAATCATTCTCCCTATCTACAAGCCTTTAACGTCAAAACCATTATCCCCAGCCTTGCCACCAATCCCCAAGACATGAGCATCGGACTGCCACCACTCTTTAGTTGAAAAAAGCAACGTAAATAGCCTCAATCTGTATTAATTTAGTGTATTTTACAGTTAGTTTATGTTTACTTGAAATTAGAGTTTGGTTTGAAAATTAGGTTTGTTTGAAATTAGTGTTTGATTGAATTGTTTAAATTAGCTATGAATTTATGCAATTAGAGTTGATTTCATGCAATTGAGTGTGAAAATAACATTAATTAGGTTGAATTGTGATCAATTATTCTTTTCATTGATTTTTTAGGCAAGTTGCTAATATTGGATATTTTGATTGAGTTGTGTTAATTAGGTATAAAATTATGCAATTAGGGTTGATTTTATACAATTGAGCATAAAAATAACATGATTTAGGTTGAATTTTGATCGATTATGTTTTAAGTTTATTTATTGGCTAAATTGCTAAAATTGAGGATTTTGATTAATTTATGTTAGATTGATTGGAATAGGTTTTATTTTTTTTTTGCAAGATATCTTATAATATTTTTATGTTATGTCATTACAATGGCACTATTGCTCCTGATATGAATAATAATATCATTTATAATGGTGAAAGTAGTTTGTTGTTGAATGTTATATATCATAGACATAGGTGTAATTATAATTATATTGTAGTTGATATAACTTTAAGGTGTAAAGTTGGATAACATTATTATTATCTTGTACTGATTGCATATGATGTTAGTTTTAAGATAATGATTGGTCTTTTTATCAAAAATGGATTAAACATGATAGAATTATATACAGGTAATTGATCAATTTCTTTGTCTATCTCAACTTTTGGTTGAATAGGTGGAAGAGCATCGTAATCCATTGGTCCTTCTAGGCTTGTTAGGAATTGCCTAAACATGTCATTGATGACTTATTTCTTATAAATGGGTGATGAAAATATGTTTGACAATGCATACACTAATCAATATAGATATGAATTATCTGAATGACAATGCATACACTAATTAATAGAGATATGACTTATCTGAGCCTAGTGACAACATATCTACTTTGTACCTATTATTTTTATTTTATATTTTGATACTTGTATCATAAGTCATGTGGTCTCCTTACATAGACGATAAATTGGTTGTTGCTCCTACAATATGTACTAGGTGATAGACATATAAACAATAGTGGTCTTATAAGTGTTTTTTTTATTAATCAAGTGATATGATTGTTCGAATTTAGTTAGCATATTCTAGTTGAAATTGATATGAATAATACTTTGTACGCTGTAAATCTTCAAGATAAAAGCGATAATTATAACTACTTAAACTACCATGATATATATATATCATAGTGAGATGCACAGAGAAAGAAGATATTCGTCAAAATGCATCCTACGATTTCAGAGAAGGAGTATAATGTTTGGTATATAAGTATAACACGTCAAGCAATCAAATCAATAGTTTTCAATTTTGGCTATAAAAGGAGGCATTTGCCATGCATTTAGGCATCTTAGTCTCCAAATCAAGATCATGCTCATGCTTTCTCTCTTTGTATTTTTGTAATGCTTAAGTTTTACTTTTATTAATATCAAGTTTATGCCTTTCATTTCCTTTCCTTTACTTAGTTAACTTTTATCTTATTTATGTTCATATTTTGTTTATTTATTTTTCTTTCTTTCATTATGTCTAGCTAAGTTTATTATGTCAAGGTGAAAAGGTTACACTAATGGTGTAAGAATAAGTATAGTGCAAACTTAATATGGACTTTAATGTTTGATACTAATATGTTTTGTATTTGTTATCTTGTTCACTTTTAATACTTTGCTTGTTAAATGGTTAATCTAGATTTAAGTTGTATAAAACTTGGTACAATAAATACTTGGCACTTTTATAACCCATACTGTATGATATAACCGATATTTGAGCTATGAATGGAACTTGATTTGTTGTTAACATAAGTTATAATTATGAATGTCTAACAAGATTTACAAGTATTAGCATTAATCGAATAAGATAACTAATGTAATCATGTTAACAATTTATAATCTGATTGGAACCTCCTTTGTATGTGGTTTCCAATTGAATAATAGGATTTTGTACTATACTTGTTTGACATACCATTAGTAGATCCTCTAACCTTGACATTTGTTGTTATCGTTGTTTAATTATTACATTAATCTTCCATCTCAAAGTTCTCGTCAATTTTTTCTTCTTTATTACCACTATTACTACTACTACCACTATCATTACTGTTGTTGTTGTTGTTGTTGTTGTTGTTGTTGTTGTTGTTGTTGTTGTTGTTGTTGTTGTTGTTGTTGTTGTTGTTGTTGTTGTTGTTGTTGTTGTTGTTATCTATAATTTATACAATTAACCTCCCTACAGTTCGACTCTAGTCTTGCCGGGTTATTTATTACTTCGACATTCTTGCACTTTGAAGAAGATATCAATCTTTTAGTCGTCTTATTGAACTTTTTGGTAAAAGGGTTTGGGGTTATAATTTTGGATTAGGGTTAGTTTTTATAATTAAAGGTACAATGTTAAGGATTTGTTAGGGCTATAGTTATGGTTAGTATTTAAAGTATGGATGAATATTAGTTTTAATGGTTAAGTAACATTTATGTGATGGATAGTATTATGATTTGGGGTTTAAATTATGGTTAGTGAGTGTAAGTGTTTATAGTTAGTAATTTTTTATTATTTATAGGTTAATGGTTTAGGGTTTATTAATAATATTTTTTAAAATTTAAGAATAAATTTAGGATAATTGATGGTTTAGGGTAGATATTATAGTTATGAAACGTGATATTTATCAATGTCATGTTTGTTAATCATGACTTATTTAAATATCACATTTTAAAACTGTAATAAATATAAAATATATTATTTTACTAATACTTATCTTCCATGAAATTTTATGTTTTAGATTCTAAAAGGAGATTTGGAGTATGATTATGGTTATAATTTAAATTGTTTTTTATTCGAAAAATATATTAAAATAATATTTTTATTATTATATTTTAAAAATAATTTTTAACATTAATACATAAAAATAATTTTAAAATATAAAAAAATTAATTTTAAACAAATCTTTTATAAAAATTTTAAAAATCATGATTTCAATCATGTTCCAACCACGTCTTTGCCCATAAAAATAACCCGAATGGGTTGGCAGGAGGGGGATGATGATAAATCCCTAAAGTGGGGTCTATGTTAATGGACAACGTATCCAGAAGCACATGCCACGTGCCCAATAATTAAACAGTTGGAGAAATCATGTCTTGGATCTGAGCAAAAGATGGGAGCAGTACCCAGTGAATCAAATCAGAAATGATAAGAAGATGAAGGAATTAAGAGGTAGAAATATTATTTAGGAGTTAGGAGAATCGAATAGTTGTAGATAGAGAGAAAGAGAGAGGGGGTCCAAGCGTGACTGTCAAATCTTCACTTTCTCTTTCTAAAACTACAATCTCCTTCACCTTCTCTCTCTACAGTTTTTCTCATAATTCATGAGAAACAACAGCACCTAACCTTTATTTCATCAATCCAAAAAATCGCCGATCCTTTTCCATTCTTCCTCGGGAATCCCTCGTCTTCAATCTCTGTCTTCGCTTCCAGGATATAATGTCCCAGATTTTCAAGGTATTCAACCAATACGCTTCCCTTTACTCACACACACACACACACACACTAACAACGAGTTACGATATAATATAAAATAATTTAGGTACTCCCTCTATCACTACAATCTATTTTGTTTTTACTTGGATTTAATTGTGTTATTTAGTTTGATGGGTTCACTTTCTTTCTAGAACTGATCTTTATCTTGTTCTTTGTTTTGCGATTTTTCCACTGCCTTAAAACCAATATAGATAATATATATTATTTTGTTGTTTTTTCTACGAAGATTGGTGTTCATAGGCTATCCAGGTTGTTTCGGATTTTTTTTTTTTGAAAGGTTGGATTTTTCCTTTTTCCACTTGGAATTTGAGCTTCCGCAGCTACAAGCTTGTAATGTAAAGCTTGGGACGTTTGAGTTTCAAGTGTTGGTTCTTTCCTTGTGTATCCAAGACATGTTTCTGGATTTTAAGTAAATCCCATTTTAGAAATATTTATTTCTTTTACCTTAAAATGAAAATCCCATTTTGATTTGCTATCAACATTTTGTTTTTTTTTATATATATATTCTGTTGTAAGAATTAAAGATGTTGTATCTGCAGTAGTAATAGTAAGTACAGTACAGCCAGATGGCTTCATCTTCTCTGCATCTTGACTGTTTATTTTTTTGGTCTTTGAGATTCTCCTTCGAAACTGAGTTTTGGGTGGGTATTTTTCTTAGTACATAAAAAAAGAGGTTCCCTTTTATGGAAATGGGATCTGCCTTTTCACATCTCATCATAAATAATAATAATAATAATAACAATAGTAAATAATTGGGTAGTATTTGTTATCAGATCTCTCTGTAAAAAAGTGGAACCCCTGGAAGTCATGATTTCTACTACAGGCTCTTGTCTCATATGCCAAAAAAATAATGTCTTAAACAATTCCAAGGTTTCTCATGTTTTGTCTGGTGTTTTGGATCGTGCATCTATATATCTATATGAATAGATGGTGAATAAATAAATAAATCCATATACAAAATATGATTACGGTCTTCATTAAAAAAAATAATAAATAGATGCATACAGTTTAACAAGCACTGTCATCTTTTGTTCTTTCTCATTTTTCTTCGTTCTTTATGGTTGTTGTTCATGCAGGACTGGTTTTGATTAGATAGAGTTCTGACTCCAAAAAAGGGCAAGATACCATGGAGGGTGACACATTCTCAGGACTTGGCAATGGTACCCAGATAGATGGCAAGATCTTGCAGACATTTCAAAAGAACTTTGTTCAGGTCCAAAATATCTTGGATCAGAATAGGCTTCTCATTAATGAGATAAATCAGAACCATGAATCCAAGATCCCTGACAACCTGAGCAGAAATGTGGGTCTGATAAGGGAGCTCAACAACAATATCAGGAGGGTAGTTGACCTTTATGCTGATCTTTCTACCTCCTTCACCAAATCCATGGACGCCTCTTCTGAGGGGGATTCTAGTGGTGCCTTGAAATCTGATGGCAAAGGTGGCCACAAGAGAAATAGACCTGCATAGAGACATCTTTGTTTTTCTTAATTCTTTCCATGGAGTAAAGGAGGATTTCACAAATTGTGTTGAGGTAGTAGAACATGATCATTAGAGATTATGTAGCTTCGTATCAATGCAGTGTCTTTAGCTCTTCACCCTTTCTTCTTTGCTGCTTTTCTTAGAGAAATAATCGGCCAATATTTGTGTCCAGTTGTAACTGTTGATCTAATTGAAATCAATCATGCTTGTGAAATCATGCTTGTGAAATCTATTTTCTTCTTTGCTCCTGTTATTGATAATGGCGAAAATACTTCATTTCTGTGTTTGATGGAGTAGCTCATTTGTAATGGATAACAACAATGAGGACTTTCCTGATACACAAAAAAGATATTTTAGAGCTTTTAGCTTGTAACTTTTTCTGTTTGTCAAAAAGGGTGATATGTATTATCAGTCTTTTACCAAGTCTTCTCTTTACTTTCTCTTTTTCATGAATGCTCAAATCTTTTCCCTTTATTCCCTCTTCAATTCAACATTAAACCGAGGAATTTTCTTGGGGGCCATAGCCGAGAGCTGAAATGGTGAGGTTGCAGATACTGTTTTGAGAGTCCTCTTGTTGTGAAATCACTGTTCATGTTTGTCTTGTGGAGAAGTGAACAATACAAGCATGCATCTCTGTGAAGATGCTCTGAAACAATGGGGAAGAAAGCAGCTTTTAGATTTATCTTTTTGGTTCCCAGTCACACACCACCACAGGAACAGAATCTCAGATAAGCGATGATGAGCTTTTGACTATTTTTAATTTTTATATATAGATGTTGTAACCAATGACAATCTTGGAGGGTATTGGAAGGGGAAATAAATTATTCTATGGATAGTTTAAAACAAAGCACTATAGTTCCAAGAGACAGACAGGTATGTATGAACAGTGACCCCTAACAACATGACAAGGGCCCCAGAGGGTCTTATATGGGATGGAACTGGACTTCTCTCCATGCTTATCCCTTTCCCTCTCCTTGGCTTCTTTCTCTTTTACTCTTCATTTCCCCCTTTCTTTATATTCTCTTTATGCAATAAATGTCCTTCATGACTACTTCAACTTGATTCCCAGCAGCTCTCTCTCTGATTGAGAAGATGTCTATGTTGGTGGACCCAGCCATATGGCATCCTCATTTTCTGGTCTTAGGAGATAGGCCCACATGAGTGATTGCTGGAAGTGGCTTGTTTCCGACTTGAGATATTAAAGTTGGAGGGGAGGGCATTCCTGTTACTACTACTTCTTGTGTAATTTTGGTATATATTGATTTGTTTTATGAAAAAAAAAATAGTTGTTTTAAATTAATTTTTTATAATATTTTTAAATTATTTTAATATTCTAGTATTAAAAATAATTTTTAAAAAATAAAAAAATATTATTTTAATATATTTATAAATAAAAAATATTTTAAAAAACAACCACTACCCTACCTCAGCACCCCTTAAATCTTAAATCTAGTCTTGTTCCACCATCATTTCTGTGTGACCTTAGGGCCTTCCTTGCTATTCTATAGAACTCAATTGCTCATGTCAAATTTGATTGACTATATGAAAACTATTGGAATGGATTTTCCTGGTTTTACTGTAGATGTTCACTTGTGGTTATGGTGGCATGAACTGGTGAACTGTTACTGTCAGAGGGGGCATTTTGACATAAATAGATAAAAGCTGTATGCAGTCCTTGGCGCCTAATAACGTCGGAAACAGAGCATCATTTGCGTAGAGGAGTACAAGATTGAACCTGGGGATCAAATGGGCCTTAAACAACTCCTTTTATTTGAATAAACAAGATATTTTTGGACCAAATCTCGTAACATATAGGATTTTGAACTTGTCAAATCCATATTTAAACTGATATATTCATATCAAATTTATTTCCCATAGGGTGTGTGGGGCAATCCACGTACATCTTTTGTTAGCCGAGCTCAATAATTAAGACCATGGTACCAATAACAATGACGCAACAAGATGAGCGTACAATTGTATCCAAAGGTGTCGCTCTCTGACGAAAATTCCTGGGAATCGGGACCAAATGATACGGCAAGTATGAGTTAAGGGGTAATTAGGAAGGTCTGTGAGATCTTGATGATGCCCGCAAACAAGACCCAGAACTTGCCGGCCGCCATTGCAGCTGAGGAAAACACAGCTGAATTCGTCTGTGTGGAACAGAGCCTGCCGAATCATGCGGGATTATTTTAACCATGTTGTTCTTCGCTTGAAGGTAATCATCAATGCCATGAAGATCAAGTGAGTTGGTCCCTCCCAAAGCCAAGCCAAGCCAAACTAAACATGCTATAACATCACATGTGAGGGGGGAATCTACTTTTCCTTTTGTTCCTTGCATTTCCAGCAAACAGGTAGGAAAGAAGCACAACTATATAATAATGAATCTTATTGGTATCTACATCATTAGATTGGGCCCAATTACAGTACTAATCCAATTATAATAACACACGCCCATGCCTTGAAATCACCAATTATAGCCTAATGACAATTACAATAATCCACACGATAATGTTGATAAAAGCGCACTTTTGACAAACCTCTGAAAGAGCACGCAAATTTCCTTCGGGGGACTTTTCCTCCTCACAAGTCATTCAGGATTTTCCGAGGAAAAATTACAGGTGTTCTACCAAGAAAAAAAAAAAAAACCCTAAAAGGACTGATCGGGCTCAACCCGGGTGAGCACAACTCTTGCTCCCCATGGACAGCCCCAGGCACCTGAGCATGCTTTCAAGCGCAGCTCGGATGCGGGGAAAACATGAATTATTTTTGTGCATATTTTGTTTTATTATGCATATTTTCTTTATTGTACAAATTTTTTTATATTTTTCTATACGTAATCTTATAGATTGTTTCTTGACATCCTAAAATTCAAGATTAGATTTAAATTAACTATTTGCAATTCATTTATAAACTAGAAGATATTTTTCACAATTTTAATAAATTATATTATAAACATATTCTATAAGTCTCTACCGAAAATCTGATAAAATTTCTCTTTTATTTTGTAAGTATCAAATTATTAATACTTATATTTTCAATCATAATCATTAACTCTAACATTTCATTCTTATCCAACTATCCGAATCATATCTTATTCAAGACCAACCATACTTTTCAAATCATACACAAAGATATATTTAATTAATTATATGACATGAACATTTAAAATAATATAAAATATAAACAATCACTAACTTAGAATTTGATTAAAATAGACAAACCTGCAAATACATATACATATATCTACTAGGCATCTTACATTAAATCCATATTAATATACCTTTAAGTATAATTTTAATTAACAATCCTTTAATTATTACAATATCAATAATAAAATTATTTAATTTACATGTTTCACACACTATTCTACTTACATATCCATTCATCAAAATCTACAACATATACTATTAAATTAGTTTACCACATCAACAAGAAATTATAACCCTACACCCTACTAAACTAATCTCACAACAAACCTATAATTTAAATATAAAGGTTTGATTACTATTTTAACTAAGAAGTTTATTATTTGCATTTCATTTTTAAAACTACATATAACACCAGTATTACAATTTAATTTCTTAAACTACTATTTAGAAACTTAACTCACTAACACTTATTTTCACATTTCAACATCAATCTCGTATAATTGATATAATATTGACAATTTTTTTAATCATCATCATTACAATTAACCTCTCACGGATACCAATAGATTTAATGATCATTTTGATTATCAATAATCCTACAATCCCTTGATGGATACCAATAAATTCAAAGATCCTTGCTATTGTTAATAATTGAGCCATTTTCTCATGGATTTCAATAAATTCAACAAGCCTTCTCATTATCAAAATTATGCAATATTATTTATCTCTTTGATTTTTTATTTTTAACAATTAATACACATTCAATAAACAAAATCTTTGAAATAAAACTATGAAATAAAAAATTCTATAATTTAGGTGAGGTGAAGAAAACCTATTTATACCTCTGCACATTATACTTCTCTAGCTATAGAAGATGTCGCTCATAGTGTCTCTCTTAGTTTCATAAAAGATACTACTATCAATATTAAATCAATTTCATAATTTTTTAACTAACTTTTTGTTTGATTAGCTACACATTTATTGATTCTTAATAACACATACCCATTTAATTACATTACCAATATTCTAATTAATTATTTACACTTTGAATACAAAATTATATTTTCAATTTGTTTTACATAATATTCTTATCTTTATTCTTATCTTGTGTAATGTGCATACTTTCAAATTCAATTTTTATTTATCAACTTGACTTTTTCATTAACCTATTCTTTATCCTTATAAATTCAATTTTCCATACTTAGCAAACTTAGCCTTTAAAGTTTTATTTTATGATAATTTCCTTATATGGTCATTGGCCTTATAAACCTCATTTCTTTTTTATTTGAAATTCTAATTTTTAATTTTCACACTCATCACCACAACCATTTCACACAAAAAAAATCCAATTCTTTAGCATAATCACATATATCTCCATAGTTCTCCTCACTAATAAATTTCAACTACACTAACACATAGTTACAACTACTTAAATTTACTAAATCCATTCCAGTTCACTATAAAATACATCAGTACACATCAATTATATACAATTCACAAACATTCATTTGATTTCTATATCCTCTATTTTCATTCAATTTTGACCGGCCACAAGCCACTTTTATAACACAAATTGTTTTTCTTTCATTTTATATTATTTTGTATCATTCATAATCTATATTATCTAATTGCATCAAACCACAGTAATCTCACATTTCCCTAAATTTCTCCTAAGAATTCTAATTAAAAAAATCTAACAAGTATGCATCAATCCCATTTCTTTCCATTCAAACTTGTTTAAATACACTTAGAACTTTTTATCCGACACTAAAACAAACTTTAAATGTTAACCAGTTAAAATTTTTTCACTCTCACAATTTTATTTTTCTTTATCGTTAACTGCTACCTTGTTTCTCCCCTTTTTTTTCTCACTTAATTGCCTATTAATTCCTTGCTCGATGAGTTGGTTGATGCATCACGCTTCTTAACTCATGAATTTAGCTCAATTTTTGCTTTTATTCTCTAATTATATATATATATATATATATATAGTTTTGCTCTTCCTTTTTTTGTTTTTCTCTTTTTTCTCCAACTTTTTCCACAATTTTAAAAAGAAAGAAGAAGTTGA